ATTTTAAAGTATGTATTCTGATTTTCATGTAAAAATCGAGGCATACGCGCTTATGACTCTGAATGAATTGAACGCAATCAATTTTTCTGAATATCATTTAAAAGAGCCCATTGAGATTGTAAAAATCCATCTGTGATATTGAGAAAATTTAGAAATACCTGAATTTTTCAATCAAAACATGCCATTGAAAATATGTAAAATTGTCAATACCTTTGCGAAAACATTACTGAATTGAATAGATTTACCTAACATTGAAGTAAATTTAGCAGACTTTAAAATTATGTGCAAACAACCGCAAAAAATCTACGTTTACATGTAAAGGTTCAAATTTATTTTGCACTTTAAATTTACATCGGAATATAAAAAATCATGAAAAGAAGATGAATAGCCGCATTTAATTGCGAAGAAAAAAAAACATTTTCAAAACGTGATACGTAAAAACGACACATACAGATTTATAACTCAAGATCAATCGAATAAAAATTGAATGAAAAAACTCGATTAATCGAATGAAAAAAATTGAATTTTGCAAATTTCATTTTGAAAATCTTAATTGGATCTCAAATGGAGGCAACAAAAACACATACACGGAGGGAAAAATACAGGAAAAAGTACGTGCCCAGTCAGATAATCGTGGACTGAAAAATGATTGTAGTCATTTATGAAAAATCTATTTTTACCTCTAAAATCCAGTAACTCAATGAAAAATTCGAAAATAAACTTAATCTGACATAAAAAAAGTTGACACAATATATTTCGGCAGACAATAAAACGAAGGGTAAAGATAATGGTATATGCATGGTTTGATATAGAACACCTTGAAATGAATTAAGAGATATATTTTCATAATTTGCTTCCTTATAATCATAATTTCAGTCAGAAAAAAATGAATAGTATTGGGTACAGGCAACTAGATGATGAATTCAAAAGCTTGGATGTAAATGATGAGCTAATAATGGCAGTAACGAAGCAATAATGGTAATGGAAGTAATGCAGGCACTACGGGAAAACCATGAGGATAGCGCGTCTGCAGTATTTCCCTTCGACTGCAGAGATTCAAGAACCACAGGACGTAATATGACTAATTATAATCAAATTAGCCGAGAATAGTGCATGTCATGGGCTCACGACGTCAGTTAAATTCTCACTTTGTCAAGTTCCGGTAGTCAAACGTTTTATTTGAAATATTTTCATCAAAGTATTTTCAACAATCCGAATAGACTGATATCACTCAAAGTAATTATGTGAAGTTTTCAAGCGAAATTCATGAGCTAATTATTGTGGTAACGAACTAATAACGGTAATGGGTTTGCGCGACGTTGAAGACAGAAGCTTGGGGAACAGATCTCCAAGACGGGGAGTTTGGCTGCTAGTATGAAAGCAGTTGAGAAGGGGTAGGTTCCTAATTCAGCTCTGTGACGTTTTAGTGGTTGAAATACGACCTCACAAAGCGCATATATGATGCCTGATACTCCGTGATGCTAAGTAGACGACGGAAACTCGCGCTTTTGGGCGCAACTAACTATTGACGAAAGTGGTGTGGAGTTCACGGGTTTGAAGGAGATTCAGAAGTTGCTGAATTTCAGAATAGGGTAATACAATTTGTAAATGCAGCTTTCCAAGTTGTACCATCTAATAATTGATCATTTGGGAAAGTCTTTAATCGAGCAACTACTTCTTCTTGTTATTGTGGTGACACTAATATAATGAAACTTATCTAAAATCCGCCTGAAGTCTCATTGCATCATTGAAAACGCGTTATTTCATCTCTCCAAATCAGACTTTCAAAATTTTCAAGTCGTCATCGCGACGATACGGAGCATACATGAACAAAAACAAATTTGAGAATGTTGGTTCTACATACTTGAATCTGCAACCTATAAATTACATCAGAAAAAACTTTCACTATTTTGTGTATTTTAGTAATAATAATAAGAAATGACAGTATTATAAGTAGAGAATATATGTTTATGTAGAATTAAAATATATTAGAAATAATTATTTCCCATCAATATTGGACTGAGAGAACCAATCAGTTTGTGTTAATTGCGATTTTTAATTTAATAAAGAATTCGTCTAAGAAATTAAATGAAAAGAATCGTACGTATTCTAAGTACGACACCATAGAATAATTAATAGAACATAATAATGGAATTATCAATTCCAAATTTGTCGGAACACGAATAATTTCTATATCCAGCACCCATATTCAATTCATTTTCTTTCATATAAATTAATCATAGTGTACTGATCTGAAAATAAATCCATAGAAGAAAGAAATTTACATTCATTATATAATGGAATCTATGGTCCATTGATGGGTGAATAAATAAATCATTAAAAAAAAAGCATGGTTACTACTCGGATGGGTGACCACTTGGGAACATCACCACCCCTTTTTTTTTGCTACATCTTTCTACAACCATATTATCTTCCATCTCTTTTACAAGTAGTTCGTTTCCCATTTTTGATTCTTCACATTCGAGGCCTTAATAGTTAGATAAAGAAATAGACACCACTTCATCAATTATTTACGTATGCATATACCTTGATAAGACTTCTCTGGATCGATGATATTAACCATACGGAAAACTCCTATGAAAGAATATGTATTCTTATGCATGCTTCAGACATAAATAATCTTGATTTGGTCATAACGGTACAGACCCCGATATGACGTGTATTTATCAGAATTTTTTCACGCATAAATTTATTATCATTATCAATTCGTTATCGCGAAGGTAAATGATTCTATACATATTTTATACATAAGAATAGATCTGACATAGATCGAACAGACATGGCATATTTTTCATAAATCACAAGACGGTGTGCATTTGCAATAGAGTTTTCTGTGTAATTTTTGTTATGCTAGCTATTGCGGTCATATGTCAAAGAGTTGCTTAATTGGTCTGTGATTAGAGCCCTAAATTCACGGATGGAGTTTATTTGATGTGGTTCTAGTGAGGGGTTAATCATTTGCAAAGTCGCTGCCCCACTTTTTCATAATCACATGTCACAAGTCACGACTTCAATGAAGTCATACGATTTTGATAACATTGTTTGAAAAATCCAGTTTATACATTAAATAACAAATTCTCGCAATACTTGACGTATTTTTCTCCAAATATAAAGTTTAGAAATGATTTTCATGAGTTCTTCATTTATAAACATTTAAAATTGACAAGCGGCAGTCAAGTAAATTACGCTAATAAAAACTTGTATTGTAAAATTAGCGGATTTTTAAAATATAAAACAACCTATTTTATGCCATTTCATATAATTCCTTGGTCTTCATTCTTAATTGTAGTTGTAATTTTTTGCCGAAATCACCAAGTCAAACTCAAACTCATTGAAATGAGTTAGTGAGAAATCATTTAGTCAGGATGGTACTGAATGATGAAATAAGTAGTATTCACATGTGATGATTCGTGATAGCAAGTACATTTAGATCTCTACGATGCCAACCGTTTATTTAAAATCATATGCCAAATCCAGTTTGCAAGCAGCCAACATGTTTGAATGGGCTCGTGCGAAATACCGGGTGTCTTAACAAGAGCAATTTATCATCACCGATCTATATTTGCATACGTCGTCAAAGGGCCACACTCACCCATTTACGTCCTGAACATCAGATAGTCGAGGGCCTTTTGAAATTCACGTGTTTGCGAATACACTCTCGCCCTCTCGCGTTGGTAGACTCTTCGCCCTCGTCATATCTCCTCATTCCTCATCTCCATTCGTTCTTGGTTGCACACCTCAGCTAAACATCCCAATGTGTCCCCTCTTGGCTTTCATTTTTACCTTCATCTCTCCTCCATCCTTCTCATTCCAGACTCAACGGTGCACAAGATATGAACTTGACGTAGCGTGAATACTTTTTAACTGATCTGCTTCGTAAAAAAAACCTGAAACCCAACGGCGCATCATTATCTCTGATCATCTTTACACAGACGATTATGTATTCTCGTTTGATAAATGCGCACGACGTCAAATTTATTTCACACATTAAATTGTATATTCTAGTGACACTGATTCATCATTTTGCATACGCAAGAGGTTTCGTCTGGAGATAAGTTATGCAACTGTACAAGTTCTGGCAGAATGACGAAGATTTGAATTGCGTATTATTTGCCTCGATACTCGCGTTTTTTGACCCCCCAGTGCAAAAGACCTTGGGAAGATGTTCCAGCACGTACTTGATCCCTTCATGGTTATCATTACTAAATGTTTTAGTCTAGTTTTTTCATGAGATTTTTTCGCACTGTCTTTAGCATCACGCCCCACGTACCCTTTGAACCGGCTACAAACAAGGATAACGCCTCTTCGAATGTCCACAAGTCACTTCAATACAGATAAGTCATGCATCGTCATTTTTCATTCAGGAAACAACTGTTTTTTCCCCTGTCTCCTTCCCATAGAAGTCACTTTTAGGTTTTTAGAAAAGGGTTGATGGACATAGCTGTTTGCTTTTCCATGCTTGTGAATTTTTATACTCTGGATGGGGTGTCTGATAAATTACAGTAGCAATATGAAGATGCCGAGCGGCATTAATCAGCCCTTGTATGCGTACATGGACGACATTAAGGTATGTTGAATAATACAGAGGATGGACGGAGGGCTTTGGGAAAGGTCATTTATAAAGTCTGAGGGGGGGTTCAGTCACTCGGCGCAGCCTCTATCTTGTTCAACGAAAGGTTTACACACTCTGGCACCTTTCACCCGGACGAACACCAGAGATTGAATTAATGGTGAATTAATTCGTTGATCGTGGATCTCCGGCTCTTTCTTTCTCACTCCAAAGTTCTATTGTTCCAGGAAGAAAAGCTGACCCAAGGGTGGTGCTCCTTGTTTACTGAAGCCGCATAAGCTATATCTAACCTGCAGGGAATATGATATGTACGAATGAGATTCTGTTAATTAATTGATTTTTGATTGAGTGGTCTTTGATCTAGTGATTTAATCTCCTGATTATCGACCGACCGAAGTTCGTTCGAGATATACAATCGACTAGTAATCGAATAGCAGTCGACATACGATACTACTCTAGAGGTTATTTCTCAATGATTGCTGATTTCACGTAATTTCAAATTGTTTCATACGATTCAATATTATGTCAAATTGTTTATTTCGATTTGCAGAATCAAATCTAATAGAGAGTGGAAACCTACATGAGAGTAAATCCAAAAAGAGACATCTTTTACAACGAGAGACAATCAGGGAGGTGAGCAAATTGAGGATCGAAAAATGCGAAAGGTAGATGAGCAGCAATGGGAACAGGAATCCTACTGTTCCTGTTATTAATAGTAAGCAATATATTTTATGTATGAAGGGATTAACCTAAGTCTTGAGTTTGAGACGTCGCATAAAGAGTAGCATCAGGTTTTTTTTTACCAACTTTGTCTTTCGATTCTAATAGAAAAATTCTCTTCCACGCACATGGGAGCACATAAAACTAGATTTTTGTGTGCAAACAGAAGGACAAAGTATCAATTCGTTTGGCATAAGCCTCTAAGCGGACATACAGGACTGAACGCTCAATGGTGGATTCGTATATTCTCGGTAAATATCCATTTGTTCGTACAAAATCCCTTGAATTCGTTGAAATCCCATGACTTCACCGATTTCAGTTGATTTCCCATCATATTTCACGATTTCATATGATTTCAAAGCTGATTTCATGTGATTTAAATTTAATGTCACACAGTACTTGATTAAACAATCGATGCGTTTGTCGGGGTAAAACCTTCGAGTAAACGTTTTTAATGTTAATTGGTGGGTACTACCGAATAGAGAAGAATTTGAAGGGGAACATATTTACATTTTCTCATTTTTATCGCTCTGAGAAGGATGAAAAAGTTTTATCGTACCTTCCAGATCAATTTTATGTCGAAAAACTAGGAGGAACTAAACCCATCGTCAAATCTCGACCCCATTCACCAAGTCCTCAAGCCCTTGATTTACTAGCTTTTTATGCCCTGCCGCCAGACCTTGTTACATTATAACCGTATTTATACTAACAGCCCTGTCACATAAGGCGAAACGTCTACTGAATGCTATTTAACTTTCCATGGGACATCTCACAATTTTTGATTAAATGCCGATGTTGAAAAGGAAGCCTGTGGACCTGTGCTCACTCCACCTCTTGACTATCGACAACTGGATGTGTTGTTAAAATACAAAGACGGCCGAATAACCATGGGAGAGGAAAACAATGAACGTTACGCCGTGATGGCAGCAGTGAATAGGGTGAGAAATATTCATGTATCCACGTTCTATGCAGGATTATCTTTCGTCTATGGGGATTAACGTCTTTCAACGAATTTTTGTGCTGTAGTTGCCAATGAAATGAATTTTACGTATTTAACATTTTTTTCAACGAAGTGGAATATGATTTAAACCACTTATACGCTATCACATCTCTATATCAAATCATCCAATGAGATCGTCACATTACGTCTAGTCAGTTTTATGAAATTTCAACTCCCTATCTCTATTTTGAAAGTATCGTGTCCGGAACGATTTTATTTTACCTTACGGTGATAAATTTCGTTTCCTGTCAAACAATTTCTGACTACGTAGCAATATTATGATTTTACATAACGGATATTATCATAAAAAGGGAATTCACCTCTGATAACTTTAATTCAGTAATTTTTATGGTAGAGAACAAAAAAGTTTTTTGAGACATAATTGTATCCCGGAAACTACTTCAACCGTTGCTCTGAAATTGCACTCGAAAACTATGCAATACTATATTTCGACACTAGTAAATCCATATTGGGCATTCGAGTATTCATTACTGATATTGACATTGAATATTCATTACTGACTACTCTTTTTCACGTTTTGAGTAAATTTGGGACAAAATGATCAAACGATTAATGCGAAAAATATACCATCTTTGAGTTTTACCTTTCTCGACGACTCACTAATTTTCACAGTCAGGCGACTATTTTTCTACTCTGCTTTTGACGAAGTCCAGGAACTATTTATGCTACCGTAGTAAGTCATTGAATAATGAGAAACTTAAAAAAGAGTATATTTGTTATGCCAATCGAGGCAATAGTTTGCTACAGATCTCAACAAATCTAAAAAATGCCCGAACATTCGTAATATATCCTCATAGAGAGGAATATTGCATAAGAATTACGTATTTTTCTCTAAATCCGACGCAAAATGTGGCTCATGAAAATTTTACGGCTTTATATTAGATTGTATAGAGAATGTGGTTGAGCGCTTTAGGCGCCCTTAGACCACCGGTCTCTTTTTGGAGCTCCCCCTCGATTAAGGTTTCGATTAAATATCTAACCCAACATTAACAGCCAGTTCCAAAATATCCAATCGGGTTTTATTTGCGAGTTAATCGATTGTGGAGAAAGTAGTCTCCCAAGAATGTTCACCATGATTGCACGACCATGTCCTGTGAAGCGACTAATTACGGTGTTTAAGCTGCCTCTGTTCATGCTAAGAAGCTGGAGGACGCTCTCCTTCCTCCATGCTGTTGTATTTTTTCACTGCTCTGTTTACTGGTTGCTGACTTTGACATCAATGACTTCACTACTGATGGCGAGGCGGACTCCAATATGTTCTGATGAGGTTCCACTCAGTACCCCTGCTTCGCCAGTCTGGCCGCTACCTGATTTCCTTCGATGGCTTCATGTGCTGACATCCATGCCTGCACACCCTACCGAAGTTTGCATGACGCGAGGGGAATCGCGCTTTTAATTGTGCCCTCGGGTACCAGGCTACCTTCGAGTATAAGTAGCCAAACTCCGGGCATTCGCAGCACTACCCGGGTGATATCGTACAACTGCGGTATTGGTGGGACCTGTATGGACGAGAACACAAACAGATAAAGTCCACCTGGGGCTAACAAGAACTAGAAGAAGAACTAAGAGATCTCTGGACTACCGAAGAACAGTATCAAATACAGCGGAGCCACAAGACGACGCTTTAAGAAAGAGAATAAGGCTATCAAGGCTGCGCAAGCCCAAGGCGCTCCCAGTCAAACGAGCGGCGAGACGGTGAAAGTCATGAAACGGTCCGTACCTGAACACAGTACTTCTAACCCTCAAAAAGTGAGACCTGTGAAAAAGCCGAAAACCAACAAGGCTACTTTCTCACAGGGCGCAGAAAGATGATTACGGGTCAGAAAGATGATCAGGTGATCGCTCATACCAGATAACTACCCAGATCAGAAGATTACCCAAGAAGGGATAAAGGGCCTGAAGAGATTAATCAGGTCCCAAATCCTCTTTCTACGAGAAGGGACGAATCTTCGAGCGGATGTGGGAAAAGGGCGGTGCCGTCATTGTAGGCTGCACCGATGAACTATCATCGGGGATGTGGCTGAAAAGCCTATTCCCTGATAACAAGCCTTTTAGGTATTCTCAGTGAAAATGTAAAATTGTTTTGGAAAAATTTTCTCGATAAACGAGATGATTAAATATCGGTGCGAGATAATATTTTCATTTGTATTTTTTGTTGGTTGGAAAAAAAAACTCAAAATGCTCTGAAATAAAATCTAAGAGTTCGATGCGGAGACAATTTCATCGACTGTTTATATTTTTTTTCCCAAACGTCAGTACATGGCGTAAGGTTGGAAATGTATTCCAAACCCGCGACATGCACGATAAAGGAAACTATCCGGTAAATATTATGTAAGGTTAGTATTTTTACACTTCGGGAACAGTTATTTTTATACAGATAATCATAAAAGCTGTTCAGATGTTTAATCATTTTTATCCTCCCATATTAGCTATTTTTATCACGGTAAAGCTAAATATTATACAGAAATATTCCCTAAAATTTATCCCCTCAAAGAATAGTTATTGGATCGCGAAAAGACCAGTACAAAATTATCATTCCATCAGAATAATTTTTATGTAGATAGGGTATATGTCGATCTTTATTTGAAGTTTGTCTCCGTGTATACTAGTGCATGAAATTTTGCGTAACTCTTACGAAAAGTTTAAAACGTTCCATAATTTTTATGTTCGGGAACGAATAATGACACTACCACTTAAATTTTTCCAGCTCCTTCCATAATCGGTAGGTAATCTTACCCCTGTCAGAAACTACATTGAAAATGCCGCATCTACCCTATGTCGCATTCGGCGCCAGTCATGCTTTTCGTTAGGTATACCGGGTGAAGTATTTTTTAATTTTTCAAAAAAATTTTACAGTGGTTCAAATTATTCAAAAAAATTGAATTATCCTTTTTCTTACTTTGGGTTCAGTTACGTTTAAGTTCAGTACGGCCAATCTACGTCGATCCGGATCAGGCTTCGATCAGGTATGACGTATGGGATTTGGAAAAATTTTTATCGAAAAAAAAATATTATAATAGGATGATAAAGGGGCCCAGAAGTTAGAGGGAAGGTGGGATGCTTAGTAGGAAAATTATACTTATTGTCCACAAATCTGATAGCAGTTTCCAAGAATGACACGCTGGGCGAGTGGATAAGATAGAGAACTACAAACCGAGGGGTTCAGGGTGACATCAAAATAATAAACGAATGCCAATCGGTACCCTGAGCAACCCGATATTCAAGTGCTCCGGAGCAATCCTCTTGTTCGATCAAAATGATTTCGGTAGAATGATCCCGAAAAAAAATTACTGGTGGTTATCGGACCATGACAAATACATAGCAGAACGAAAAAAAAACCGAGAAACTACATACGAAAGTTCCCATAAATACCGAAACAATCTAAGAAAACGGTTAAATAATCAGCGATTTATAGCAGGTCTTTGACCCCCCTAAATAACTTGTCAATCTCCAAGACATGTCAACTATAACCGTGAATTATTTAATATTCTAAGATTACTTTATTTATCCGTTGAAAAAACTTTTCCCTAGAATCTTTTGGGACGGTGTGCCGAATGAGATTTCTAGTAGGGAGGTCCCGTCATGCTTATTGACTATTTTTCGTATGGCGATTGTGACCAATTGGCGTATGCTATACTGAACTCAGCATGAGTTTTTCCCTCGATTTTAAGAGTGGGAGATATGATTATATATGGTAACTACGTGGAGTGGAAGTATCCGTGACACCTTCAAGCTGGTATTCCTTTGTTTATTTCCCTACCAGCTGGAAAAATATCAGAGCAATTATATTTCCAGCTTGTTTTCGACAGATCTGCAATTTGCGTACAGAAATTAATAGATTGAGTTGATTCGAATAGGTTAGTTATTCGAAGAAGGTGCCACAACACCACGAGCAGTTCACACCCCATAGATCAGAATCGTAATAAGATAAATAATTAAACGCGTATTTTCCTCATGCTTTCTAATGCGACAGCAATTGGGAAAAATTCTGGGTAAAAATTTCTCGCCCTGTACCTTTGCGATTTTTCCAAAAAATTTTTCCCTCTCGTCCCGCAATAAAATAGTCGAGAAGTATGAAACAGTTTAGAAGTTCTTGGGGCTAAAACTGAATATTTCTTTCCGGGCTTAAATGAAAAGTATTGAGTGTCCTGTTACAGTGATTGAACGATTGCATTCATTGGATATGATCGTGAATGCTACTAAATCAGTGCTGAGACTCAGTCGTGAGATAGATGGCCGTTATAAGAGGGGGATAGCTCCTAGTAGGGCCTGCGGTTCTCTCAAACCCAGGATCCAATGTGCCAAGCTGGAGGAAACTACGGTGTTACCTACTCTCCCTCGAGGACCCACGTACCATAATCGGGTGAGAATAAGTGAGATGGGCCCCTTGCACGTACTGGACAGAGAAGGATACAGCGAATCGAGACAGGGGGGAAGGATTTCCTAGTAACAGGATGTAATTATGATCGGTGAGATACGTCACGCATAACCTCAGTATTGACGTCCACAAATCACATCGCCGTCCATGCGTTATATCTCGATAGCGTGGATACAGGATTCTCTCACTCTGGGAAACACTAGTGGGGTCTCTGTGCACTAGTAAATCAGCATTACGTGAATTCCAAAGACGGTACGAAAGTAAAGATTGTTGTACTTATTCAAAAATAATTTAACAATATACTCACGTCGAAAACTTGGCCCTCCTGAATTGGCACTATATCTTCCAATAAGTAGGGCCCACATATTTAAAACATTTATTTCAATGCATTCTAACCTTGGGGTTCATTCTGCTGATAAAGAGTTCTGATATTTTCATGGTGTCAAGTCAATTAATCAGTAATGATTATTCTTAGATAACATCAGATCGATAAAAAATTCAGCCCAGGCTTCAACGCAGATTGAATTAAAATTTATTTGAAATGCCTATTATTAATCATAGCATCCTAACCATATTGGTAGTAGCGTTTCTTTGAATACCTTCCTTGAATTAATTATTTATATATAGCTTGCTATTGCTAATAGGAAGAAATCAGAATAGTTCAGCATCCGATTAATCCTTCAAATCAATTAACTCATACCTGTATTACCGGAATGTATCCACATTGTGTTTCGTTTGCCCTTTGGACCCCTTCCTACAGAAAAGCTTACTAGATGCAATCCTTGTACCTCCTCTGACACCCGTGATACCCGTTTACAATCTGTACTTGCGTGTCTCTCGACAAAAGACAAAAGGGGGTGCTGGATGGTAGACTGCTCGGGTAATCTTCCGCAGTAATTACATTTTGCGATATGTCGATCTACGAATATGCCATTAAAGCACAGTGAAGGCAATAGAAGGCCCCAAGGTGTATCTGCCCCAGCATTCAGACAAGGTCACCTCTCTCACTCACTCTTGTCATGAATTCACAGGACGCAAAGCACCTAGTGCGCGTTGGCTTCACCTATTAACTGCGATATAACGGACCGATCATATGACGCTATATGTAGGTAACATCAAAGCCAAAGGCATAGTTGTACCCCCGGGAGTCCCTGTGACGTATCCCAAAGCTGGTGCTATGCACCAACGTGCATTTACCATCCTATTTCAACTGCCCTGGAACTATTCCCTTTCCTAGTCCGGGCCTACCGGGCATATATCTGGAGCCTCTATCTTCCCTCAAACTACTGTGATATGGCCAATGGTGCTGGTGACGATGTCTCAAATTTCGGATCATCTGTAATAGAGTTGATTGTTGCTATTGGAGGATAATACTTGATAGGGCTATTTCAAGCGTGTAGAGAATCTCGGTAGGGTTCACTGTGGATAAGCAGGAGAGAGTTTCAGCAATTCATTTGGCCACTTTGGAATTTACACACTGAAGAACTTGGATGGACGACCAAAATTGGTGACAACGTAACCGTTGCTTGTTATTTTGGTTCTCATTGTGAATTTTGTTAATAGAGACTTTTATGCAAAATAGTATAGAATTTCGAAATTTTCGAGAACCGAATTCAGGCAATTAGGTTCTAAGTATCGCCAGAAAGTACCTTCTGAAAATTTTTGTAGCACCCTCAATGTTCGTTTTTCATTCTTATATACAATGGACAATATATTTTTGAATTGTTCAAGCCCGAAGAAAAATTTGTGTGTATCCAATGAATATAGTGAACCGCAACCCAAAGAAACCTCGAACATATATATCATCGGACCGAATAATTCCTGATATCATGCATTTGTCAGTTGGCACAGGGTATGACATTGTCGATCAATGTGCAAATAGAAATTAGGTCACTTAAACCCTGAGGTCTTCTCGAATGCTAAAAAATGTTACGCACCGTTGCGGGCCTTCACGACATCTGTCGAACCCGCAACGCATCAATACTTCTTTCCCAGTCCTTTTGAATAGTTTCCACTACTGTGTTTAAAAGAGCGTGAAACTACATATTTTCTTTATATTATATTTCCCCCTTTTACTTTTATAATCGCCATTACTTGCACACCTGAATCTACTTGACGAAAAGTGGGTGTCACTGTCTTCAAGAACTTCCGATGCTTTGTTCCTTTTTATCTTATGCATCCTAGCTAGTGATTTGTCGAGAGTGAAGCATGAAATTGGCCATTATTTTTCCATGTAACTTTATAATCTGCACGTGACGTTATTCCACCAAAAAGCCTTCTATGTTGTTTTGAATCATTTTGTACTAGAGTTTCTTTAAGGTGGTTGTCGCGCGACAGTCTCTGTAAAAAGTTTATCCGCTATAAAACGGGCCAGTTTAGAACACAATCTTTTAGCGGTATATAGTCTCACTTGATTGATTGCATTGTGCACGGATAGCTAAAGCATAACTATATATTTTCCATATTAACTATTTTCAATTATCTAAATTTATGAATTTCCAATAATTATATTCCGTAAACCAAACGGTCAATCGATTTGATTTTTTTTTCTGTATTTCCTCCCACGATGTATATTCCACGTTTTTTTTTATTTCTGAAACTGTTGAGCCGTTAATTTTTAAAAAATTCTAATCGGCAAAACTCCATTTAAACACGTGTTAAATCACTCGAATTTCAAAAATTCATATCTCAAGTTCAAAACGGTCAATTGCAAACGGAAAAGGCTCATTTTGTTGCTAATTTTTCAAACTATTCACCATAAAATTTTTAACGAAAACTCGAAAAAAAATTCTACGCGACAACGACCTTAATAATGAGCTGGTGATGTGGTTTCGAATGAATTGGTATTTTTCAAGGAACCTAAATAATCGTTATACTCGAGTTGACATTCCTATTAGATTAAGATGAAGACTAGGTCCGATCGACTCTGACACTGAAATACCTCGCTACCGTTGAGTCCCCAAATCCCCAAATACATTTATCCCATGACTTTTCACAATGAAGAAACTGAAGAACGATCGCAGGACAGTGTTCCTAGATGGGTTAAATAAAAAAAAAGCAATTAACGGCAAGGACAAACTGAAAAAAACTTTTGTTTCAAGATAAAAATCCGAAGGGCTCTCTCTATTAGTGAAATCATTCTGTCACTCTGAACTGAAATAATGTTAAATCAATTTTCAATTTTCATATAAAATCATGGGAAATCGCCTGACATCGGTGAAGACATGAAATGTCAACGACTTCAAGTGATCTCATGAGAAATGCATTCACTAACCTAGGCCCTATCTCAGCGAATGTATATAAGTAAAAAAAAACACAAGAAGCAACTCAGTCGGATCTCACGATTTTCAAAATGAATCCATATTTTCCAAGAATCTTCGAACTCGCTGTTGAGCATCCACATCCCTGTATTTATGTCTATAGGTTTTGTACCTTCTAAACATATAAATGTGGTTTTATGTACTTTAATATGTGCAGAATTGAATTTATCTATTAGAATCAGTAGAAAATTTGGTTAAAAGAACCGGATAGTATACTCATTATGCGACGTTCCAAATTCAACTCTTGTGTTCATCTCCTTATGCACATAAAATAATAAAGATATTGTGGCTTGCTTCTCCTTATCATTTGGAATTTTTCGATCCCTAATTTATCATATTTATTGATCAATTTATCATATGTAAAAGGAGCTCCCGATGAGACACTATTTTCCCAATTGTAATTCCTGTTTTTATCCTTCGGTTTGATTCTACTAATTGAAATAAAAAAATTTAAATCATATGAAATCGTAAAATCGTGAAATCATATTCCAAGGAATCGGTAGAAATAATTTTGAAATTACGTGAAATCAGCAAGCATTGTGTCGTAATATTTCACAACGAATAATCCATCGAAAAAATCACTTATTTTAAGGAAGTGAAACGAGTGTTTTTGAGATTAATTTAGTGCGTGCAAAGAGGAAACAGTCGACCTGATGTATGATCAGAACATACGTCAATGGTTTTTAATGTGAGTGATAAATTTGATTTTGATAAGAGCCCATCCAAGGTTTGATATACTCGAATAGATTCTGAAAACGGTAGGCGAATTCTGTTCAAGGTCGAGTAAATAGATGTGATCAAATAATGTCTTATGACAACATGATCTAACGCTGATCGAGTATATCGAATTGTAATATCTTCAGGAGAGATCAGATGAAAAAAAATTAAACATAATTTTGGCCTGAGACTAAACTGCCTGCACTAAATTTGAGGAGTGTTCGGTAATTCAAGCACCTGTCACTACTCACACACTTTTAGTTTTCTTTGGAGTCTTTCATTACTTTGCAATGGAGTAAATCATTTGGCTCCCTCAGATGATACTCGAATAGTTGTATTATTTATATGGCGCGAACCGGAAGGACACACGCGCTAAGCGCTCTCAGCAGTTTCCAAAAACCTGTATTTTCAAATAAAAGACCTCTTTTTTAACAAAAAAAAACAATTAACTATATTCTTTGAGAGCCTGTACAGTTTTCAAAATTGATACTACTCATATTTCAATATCCTGTTTTTATTATGATTAGTGGAAATATTTCTCCTCTCTTTACATGTCTACGGCTAAGATAATTTTGAATAGTTTGTGCTACCGGAAACAAACTAGCAAGAAATTAAAAAGAAAACTCACTTGTTCCTTTCATTTAATAACTTCCAAATCCGTATAATCAGAAAGTAGAATTTGGAAAGCGGATTGAATTGGTGAAACTTTATGAAAGAGTCAATTATGATGGAACGGACAAACGCTATATTTTCGTATCCCAATCCGATCGATAGTTTTCAATAAATCTCACAGAAAGAATGAAAATAACAAAATACCAGCAAAACATCCTTAAAAGAGTTCATTGTGAACATATACATTTTTCTACTTGTGCGTTTCACATCCAACTTTTATTGTACAAGTATTAAGAAAAAATACAGTTACTTTAATATCGGTGATTGTGTTTTTAAATTATTCTTTCATAGACAATTCGCCTTTCTACAGTTCGTGTTGAAAAATAGTTTTCTGCCGGATAGTGTAGTATGAACATTGGACTAGACAAATAGATCTTGAGAATGATGGATAAGAGATGGATCATTTAATAGGGATTATTATGAGTATATCATATATTCTTTGGCAATGCATCCTGAAGTCGATTGCAATATTGTAAGTGAATTCATAAAACGAATGGAAATTGTCTTGATTCGTTCAGTTGCATCCCTCTATAACTAATTATGTTTGATGTTGCCCACAGCCCTGTAATGTTTCACATAGTTCGAACAACGCATTTGGGAACTTCCGGCTGGAGAATTTCTCCCCAAGTCTCCAAAGCCCCCTGAATAATAGCAGTACCAAATGAAAACGATTCAACAATGCACAGGATGCCGTCCTTGGGATAACATTGCAAATCACAATAGCGACCGCAAATGCAAGCGACAGGTTGCTGAATAGACAAGAGAACTCAAAGTGGAGAAGTGTTACGAGTGCCACGTGGATTATTACTACTTACGCAACATATAACATTATAATTAAGAACATTGTGAGAAAATAGTCTAGATTTTCCAGTCATTGAGTGTAGGAACCTTAATTAATTCAAAATAGGTTTCAAGCATTTAATTGAATTGACAAGAATTCTCTCATTGAAGTTCATATCTCATTTTTTTTCTCTGAAATCGTTGTCCATTTCCACCTTTCATTCATCCCCGACCCTTGGACAGAAAATATTTCAACTATACTGCTAGAAAAATAAGTAAAATTATGTTGCTTGAGAATTCTTCAAATTTAAAATTCAAATGAATAAAAAATGATTTTTTTAATAATAAAAAACCGAGCGAAAAAGACGTTATACAATTTTTCAATCCTCAACCATGACTTCATCCACATGGAATGTGATGGTCCACAGCGACGTTTTGGAATGATCCTCAATCGGCATAATTTCATTTAATAACAAATTAACTTATCGAAGTGAACATTAGTTAATTTATTAACTCAGTGACTGCATCACCAGGCAAACAGTGAAACGTTAAATCAAGCGATGCTCGCTCTCTCGTACATTGAGTGACTGATCTGTTGGGTTACGTTATGATTCGCACTGAAATTCTTGCTTTGTAATTATTATGGCGCCGACTATTAATTATCAAATTCTCGAAGTTCTCTATTATTCTCTATTAATTTATTAAAAAGAAGAATGGTAATGCAAATGTGCCTAGCAGCTTAGAGTACAATTATTTGACAATTAAACACATTATTTTGTGGTTACTTGGTTGACTTGCGTTTATTTATCAAAATAATTAAATTCCAATTCACCTGAAGCTAATAATTACTACGTTATTACTATGCTGGTTTATAATAAAATTATGCGCTCACCAATGGGATGAGGGATCACGGTATATTTATAACAAAATTCCACAACATTTCAGGGATATTATTATCCTGAATATGAAAACTGATACAGACTACTATTTTAAAATGCAAATTGATTTTGTAATGGAATGTTCTAGTACAATTGTTGGAAAATCTTACATTTTCGAAAATTTTATGACACAACAAGCTTTTTCAAAATTCCAATCCCCGTAGAGTATAATAATATTTTTTACCTGAAATTTCCAAAGCAATTTAGAAAATCATAATGTATTTCTAACTTTTTTCCTCCAAATATCACTAGTAAAACGAGTTTTTACAAATATTGCTGAAGAACTGCAAATCCTATATGTATATATTTATGCGTATATTTTACATATGAATAGGCGTATGTGCCTCATCTACTTAATCCCACATTCATCCAGATCCATTAACACCAGATACATTCAAGTGAAAACGGAACTTGCCTGAAAAAAAAATTACACTCTACGGGAAAATCGAACTTAACCCCTTCTACAGAAGCCTTCACGACACGAAAGCTGTTACGGTAATACGTCCAACGACATTCCGTTGTAAATGTGGGAAGTACATTTCAGTTGAATGAAAAATAGAAAAACTAAAGTTTGAATATCCTCGGGAATTACTCAGCCTGATTACTCCAGCTTCACGTGCTCACCAAATGTAAAAAGAAAACGAATATTCGCACAGCACACACAAAAGAAGTAATCAATCCTATTTTCAATCAACGAATTAAATTATCTCTCTCTCTCTCTCTCTCTCTCTCTCTCTCTGTCTCTCTCTATCATTTCGTATTTTTTATCTACTTCCATTGAAGAAAGAAATGCCGAAAGTACGTTGTAGTGAATCGAGCGGTTGAGATTTATCGGGAGGGAGTAATAAAAATGTGCTGCGAAAAAGGCTCAAGTGACTTGGGCCTTAATTAATGGGATCAATCTGTGACAAAGGCTTACCATGGGGACAAAAATCCTTATTGCATTCATTCTGCCCCATTCAATTCCCACTTGACTTGATTTACAAAGAATTTTCGTAATTCGTTTTCCACAGAATGTTGGGAGTACTTTTCCACACATGTAAGGGCGGTCAGTGGTAGGGATTTATAGCTTCTGATGGCAAAGAGAAAATTCCCTGTGTAACGCCAACTGTGGATGGAAGCAATTAAATTTCTTTCCCTTCTCTGTGTAATTGCGTGTATGTACGTGTGAAGATGAAGTATGAAAAAGTATTGAAGATGAATTTTTTATTTCTAATTTCCTGGCTTTTTAATTTTTCGTTCTCTAAATAGGATTGTGAGCTAATGATACGATGTTACAGTTCAATACTGACAATTTCGGGTAAATTATGTAGTTGCAGGTGTTAAGTAAGCTACTCTTTGTGGTAAAAATGAATACAAAGAAAATCGTTTCCACTCATTTTTTTCATGATCTAGGGGGCGTGATGGATTCTCTAGGGGCTATATAACAGAATATCCACCGGTATACCATGCGGAATATACCATGCGAGTAAATAAGGCGGATCCGAAGTTCCATTAAAAAGAGAATGAAGCATCGTCAATTATGGCAATATCATTTTTTTATGCGCAAATGTAGTATAATAAGTAGGTTGGAGGATCAAACGGGGATGATAGAATGCTTTCCTACTTTCCGGGCAATGCCAACCCTCTTCAGAATCGAACATGGGAAAATTGTGACAAGAAGCAACCGTTCAAACACATTTCACACTTAGTAAGTGGATAGCCTAGGTTACATGTTTTATGCAATGCATGTTATTTTAGGGTCGATCGGCCAATTATGGAATCACATCTTTTCCAGTGAGGAGTAAACGGTTGCGAGAATTTCAATTATTGCATTATTTGAATTGTTTACCAGGAAATTAACTCTATATTTCAATCGTAAATAAATAAATAGTGTTTGAACAATTATATTTTTTAAATCTCGCAAATGATGGTCTTTCTTTGAACAGATTTTTTTGTCGATTCGATATAGATGAAGATAATTTTTTTCAATTTCCCCAACGGCTAATCTTTATGGCACAGACTGGCAGTTAAAAAGCAATTTTCATATAAAAATAAACAGTTGATTTTCAATCTCTTCTTCTCACTTTCTCTATCGACTTGCTTGGAACAGCATACAAAAACTTAAAAAATGTCGCGTTGGTATTTTTCGAAAAATTGTGTTCCTAGAAAAACTGAGCTAAATTTACCATTTTTTCCTTCAAGGAAACTTCCTTCTTTGGTTTCGCCTTAACAGAAAATAGGGCTCCAACAACGAAAGGTGAAATGAAAAATGCTCACTAGATAAGGTTATAAACTGTTAAAGAAACAGACCTTATTTCTCCTTCTGACAAAATATTTTGATATTAGATTTTTAAATTTTATTGTTGAGTTTTTCATGTATTTATCAATCAACTCAATCAAATTAACTATCAGGTAATGACTCATCGTATGTCGGCGGTACATTTAATGAATTAATCTGTCCCCAAAATATATTTGCTAAATTTGTATGTTTTCGGTAGATGTACCGAACCTTCCACTTCCCTTCCCTGCTGGAGGTGCATGATTTTTAAATTAAAAAATTTATAAATTAATTTTATCATTGGTTAAATTCAATTCGACGTGTGGTAAGGTACTACTAATGTTACCAGCACTTAACGTTACCCAGGGTTCGCGACAGGGATGCGGCTGGTATGAACCCTGTCGTTCTGACCAAATCATAGAAACAGTCTGATCGGAATCGGATCAGAAATAAGTAATGGGTGCCTGATAAGGAAAGCCGGATTTTAGCTGAATTTGGATTCCTACCTCAAATAATAACCTAAAAACATTAATTTATTCGATTTTACCATATATTCATTCATTCGCATCTGAAGGGGCAATGAAATTTAAATTCATTCTAGGCGGCAGTGTTCTTCGCATTGTCCAAGAGATCTTGGTGCATCCTCTTTGTTTTTCTGTCCCAATCTTTGGCATTGGTAATAATGGCTCTCAAAATTTTTACCAATATGTTTGCCTTAAGAATGAAAATTACCTGAGGTATGTAATCCGTCGCAATTTCATTTGCAAATGATAATCAATTATATTAGATGAATGAATACTTCAGCATCAGAATTAGAAAGAAAATAAGTTCATCATATTGATGGCGAGCCATTCACAACTGAATTCCTTCCATTTTTAATCACTTTCCTCTACAAAAATGGTTTATACAATAGCATAATACATTACCACAAATGAACTCCAAGAGTTTCGTATCTTTAAGGATTTTTTTTGTCCTTCACCTACTTTTGGGCAGTGAAATTGTTCAAGACATTTTTTACCATCAGCTGCCTCAAAACGTCGCTGATCATGTTTGAAAGTTTCATGCTTGCAACATCAATTATGTCTGCAACACCTTGACTCTGAGAACAGAAAAATTAACGAATAAAGTTAAAAATATGTCAATTAGTGCAAGTTATGTATAACTTAGAGTTGTAATGAGTTTAATTTCTACTGAAAATGAAGATGTATACGTGTAGATTGATCCATGAGTAGATTAACTTGAGGTACTTTTCAAAAAGGTTACTTCAATGAATGTTTTTTAATTGGTATACATTTTACTTATACTTTCAGTAATTTCGCGAAATGCAGGCTCGGATGTTCCTTGAAAGCCTCAAATTGCGAAAATCAAGAAAACAAATTTATTATTCAAAATTTCGGGTATTTGAAATAATTCAAAGAGGGCATACACATTGAGAAAAAGGTGAAAAAAAGTGCTCTAACAAGTCAAGTAATTGTGGAACTAGTCCGATTTCTGTACTTTCCTAGTGTAGGCGCCTAAAATCCACATAATATGATATATTTTATACGCAAATTGTCAAATTTATCCTTAGTTTTTACCAAGTTTTTGAATGTAATTTTTATCTAATTCCTCTTTGCAGAAAACAAGAAATATAGCCATAATATATT